TGTTCAGTAGCTTTTTGAAACAAGTCAACTGCCCTTTGTTTATCTTTTTCTACTCCAGATCCATTATAATAACACACGCCAAGATTAAATTGTGCAGTAGCATGTCCTTGTTCAGTAGCTTTTTGAAACAAGTCAACTGCCCTTTGTTTATCTTTTTCTACTCCAGATCCATTATAATAACACACACCAAGATTACATTGTGCATTAGCATTTCCTTGTTCAGCTGCTTTTTTATACAATTCAACTGCCTTTTGTTCATCTTTTTCTACTCCAGTTCCATTCTGATAGCAAAATAAAACACCAAATACAAGATTACATAATATATTAAAATATAATAAGGAATGCAAAACTCCAAGTACAAGATCAAAAAATGCAGTGGAGGATAAAAAAGCCATATTGACTGTAATGATTGTATAAGTCACCTAACTTTAAGAACTATCACATATGCCTCATATGCCTTAAATAAATCTGAATTGGTACAACTAATCTATTTATTAGTTACATGAGTTTATAAGACATTATTGCTTAACTATTGATACCAGCTATATAGTTAATTTTAACATGTTACAACTGACTCTTGTCAGAGGAACAGAGGTGCAACAAAGGCAAAGGCCAATTAGATAAGTATAGTAGGAGGAGGAGGAAGAGAAGAAAATAGCCAGGAAGATGATAGACTTAATTTTAGGTGTTGATGGCCAAGAAGGTGAAGGAAAGAGAGATTTATTTTGAAGTAGGTTATGATAGAAAGAGATGTAGATATTAGGGAGGGAGGGAGGAGATGAGGAACCAAATGTGCAAGAAGTATAAGATGTCCAAATTGTCCAGATAAATGAGGAAAAGATGAGACGGATTATATGTTTATGATTAGAGAATATGGAGCAAGATGAAAGTAGATATAATGAAGAAGAGGTTTGAGAAAGGAGATTAGATGTAAGTGTTTGAAGAGAGGATGTTATTGGAGAATTGAAAGTATGAGGGCAATAAGGACAAAAGTTTGAATAAGGCGATATATTAGGACCAACAGAGAGGGAAAAATGAAAAATTTTCCAGAGTAAGTCCTGAATTTTGCAAGGGTAATGAGGGTGGTGAATTTCTTTCCAGGAGAGGGTAGGGAAAAAGGGAGGAGAGAAAGGTATATGAGGAGAGGGTGGAACGGTTAAAATAGATCGAAGTTCAGGGAGGGCTGGAGAAGAAAGTATGATAGATTACACGGTTTTTTTCCCTTGCGTAATCAATGCCTTTATAAAGTACAGGAGATATTACACTATGGATGCACGCATCTAGCACATTATTCGAACCAACAACAAATGAATTGACACGAGTGGTACTCAAAAAGATAGTTGACGGACCGGATATTTATGCATAGAATTGTACAGTTTCGAATTCATATATGCAATTCCACCCCACGTAAGTACTGTTCACCCCCCTATTCATGGCATGGTAACCAAAAAAGCCGAAGATCGCTATAATCATAATGAATATTCGATTCAAGTAACAATCGATTCTGAATAATATTTTTACCTGTCGTATATGTACTAGACCGATCTATCTTATTCACGATAGGATCGTCAACTCTTATCGGCATTATTAAAATGATCGGCAAATCATTACGTAAAGTATAATCCACAACAACGTTAAGGGGTAGCTTTAAACAGTAATTGCAGTAACCAGACCAGAAGCGTACCACTGTTGTGAAATAAAAAATTTTGATTTGTATACTTGGGGTGCTTATTCACGATGGGTGCTTATTCACGGTAGTATACGGTAATATCAGTTGATGTAATTAAGGAAGAAATTGCAAGATTGACCAATGAGAATATATCAGATCCCAGATATACAGACGAATTTAGAACAACTGATGTGTATGACATTTGGGGGTGCAACTCTATAGTCGACAATAAAATCACTATCTTTCAGCTCAATGTAGAGACGTTTTCTTAGAAAATCCGCCAGTAATTATGTTCGTTGCGATATGCTTTACAAAGTTACTGGCTGTTTTATCGTTAAAATGCCTCTACACTGAGTTGAAAAGAGTTGGAATACTTTAATAATATTTAAGGCTCTTCGAAAAATTGAAACATATCTAGTGAAAGCGATCATTTCCAATTAGTAATTTGTGTTGTTGATTTTGCCGATTAATTTCGTAAAGTTTCAAGCGAAAAAGAAATTACAGTCAACTCTGTCTATACCGGCACGAATGTTTCTGGCCTTTATAACGAGAGATCGTGTAACCACATAATTGTGCGATAAACTCGTTATTATTATTTTTATTTTCAATTTGATGTTGCTGCAAACCAATTTAATTTAGTTTGTTTCGAACGATTTATCTTTTCTTTTTCTATATCACGCAGTAGTCGTCGTAAGAGCAACAGATCATCTCTACCAACCTTTATGTTGTCCTTACGATTTGTTCTAAAAACATTAGTGTTATCTGAATGGCAGAGTGTGCTTCGCTGTATGAAATGCTCTTACTTCCTCATCAGTATTAGGACTATCTGATGATTCGCTATTCTCCTGAAGAACCAAATTGATTATCTCTTGATCGTTTACAATAAATTCTAATAAACAATAATGTTAAATAATATTCTTTCAATGATTCATATAATGAAACCTCTTAAACATATCTTCGGCTGTCAATTTCTCACCATATGGTAGGTAATCCATTAAGTTCTGCAATAAAGTGATCTCCTGCGTTTTCTTCATTAAAATCGTTCTGCTCTTGTTCTAATCGGTTCACTTCCTCAACGCTTGGTAAAATACCCGTCTTGCGCCAGCAATTAACAACAGTTCTTTGACTAACTCCACTCTATGCTTCTGCTATCATGTAAATAGCATCTTTGATAGTAAACTTATTGACATTAGTATCATCAGCTATTGATTTATCGTGTGCGTCTGTAAGACTTTCTATGAACATTTTTTTATATTCTGACTTAAATGACCAAATTACTCCAGCATCGCAGGGTTGCAATATGGCAGTTGTTTGCTGCAGGTAAGAAATGGAGGGTGATATTGGTGAGTTGACTGGGTATCTTGTGACATGCGGCGTTATCAAGTAACATTATTATTCGTCTATCATGTGCACGCATATTTTGGTCAAGTTTCTGCAACCAATGCATGAAGATCGATCCCTATTTATTATAATGTTATTGTTATTACAGTTTAGTCCCGAATAGTAAACTCATTTCACGACGTACCTGCATCTACTATCATTCCAATAATAGTCAACCGGAGAAGTCTATAGTTGAGTTGTTTCAGTACACGGGGTGATTTAGACTTTATTAATTAGAAGTAGTAACAATTTTTCCGTTCCAGTTGAGTTTACAGCGAGCGGAACAGCAACTCGATTTTTCGACTGTTTCCGGCCTTTTACTTGATTCTTAGCTAAAACCCGAATTGGTTCTTGATTCCAATAAAGAGTTGTTCATAATTATATTGTCACACTAATAAAAGCAGTAATGCATATTAAAGCTGATAGAATGAGCCTGAAAAATAAATACTAAGCCATTTGACATTTATGGGCCAACCTTGTTACAAAAATTGATCGAACTACCCAATATAAGTTTAGTATATCACAAGCTAGCCTGTTCAGTAAATTGCTCAAGTGAAAACATCTGCTTATTTCTTAAACCGACTCTTCAAATCGAATTTTAATCCGGTATAAAAAATGTTTATCACTATTTTAGTCTATCGTCTTCATTTCCTAAATTGGGGAAATACGCTAAACAAAAATTGTATTTTCTTCATTCGAAAAGCAAATTGTGTTATTGCGGGGTCGGAATATTCTGTCACTTTACCATAACAAGCCTAATAAACATTACTTTAATGCATCGGCAGATACCATACACAGTACATTAAATAAAAAATCCATTGTACATGTGCTCGTTTAAATATGCATTTGTATTGATGTACAGTATTAGTATGCGGTTAATTTCTTGCGAGTATTTATTTCACTGTTAGCAGATATTGCTTATTATTGTTATTTTTATGATAAATTGCCCCTTACTTATAATTGATAAGCATGCACAAAGTCATGTACTTTTCCATCTATTATCGTCGGATAATGGTAGTCTCTGTTTTACAAAACTTTTGTCCTTACGTTTTTTTCTGATAGCCACATTAATGTCCGAATAACTATCGGTTAATCAAATAAACAAATATGGAAAAGACATTTGATTATTTACTTCTTAAACACAACTTTTCGAGTCAATTTTATTTCTAAGAATCTTATCGCAATTTTATCAATCGTGAAGAAATGTCTTTACTCCTAAATAGGGGAAATACGCCAATCGAAAATTGTATTTTTATTTTCGTTATTGTAGTATCGGCATATTCAATCACTTTACCGTCTAATAAACATTACTTTAATGCATCACATACTATATATAGTACGCTAAATAAAAGTTGCTTTATAGATATGCTCGTTTAAACATACATTTTTGTATCTCTGTACAATAATAGCATGCAGTTATGTAGTATTCTGAATGTCTTGCAAATCAATAGATGACAGTTTTGTTACAATTATTACGTTGTATTGTTAGTAAATACAATGGCTTCGCTTATTATTGTCTGTTTCAACGATCACTCAATTGGGTAATGGTATGTGCAGCAAAGCTTTGTGAATTATAGTTACTGTATGTAGTAATAGAGTTCGTTTAATGGTTCTCAGCTGAGACAACTCAGTCCAGAACTGAGACAAGTCTCCAACTGAGGTACAACCTTTCTGACCATTTATGTAGGCCACAGAGTCGTAAAACGTAATGAGTCGATTCCTCTGTATCAACAGGCATAAATGGTATGTTCTGACGATTGACCGGAGCGCTTGCAATAATCGTAGTTAGCCCCCCTTGTCATTGTCTGTAACTATATCATTGCGAGTAGGAATACCTGCCTGGTAAATAATTTTCGCCTGAATATCGAAACAATTTGTTTGTTTTTGCGTGAGACAATGTTATTTTGTATTTCAGTATATTGCGTAAGTACACTCATGTTTTTTTGTAAGTAGTTCAGAGAAAATTTTAATTAGTCTTTAGAAAAATTAGCGTTAGTTACAAAATACACGTTATTAAAACGACTAATTAGCGAAAATAGCAAAGCTAGTATGGGATTTTATCATTGTCCTTATATCCTCCGGACTGGTAAAGTTTGTAATGAGCGTTGCTTATCGCCCAGAAGGGTGTAAAATACATTGGAAGGCTCCTACGCGTGTACCTTGTAAAGATTGCGGTAACTTGACATTCTCTATATTTGGTGCATGTAGGAATCATTCTGGTAAGTATTGGTTTCAAGATTGTTATTGTTGGAAAAACTAGAAAAGCTCATCCAGAACAAATCTGAGAGTGGTACACAGCAAAAGAAATGAGTAACTGTATTTTTGAACACCTGACTTTCTTATATGCAGGCACTATTGCCATTTTAAAACTAATCAAAAGCTTCATCTTTTATTGCTTATTGGGTTTTGAATTTTTTGAAATGTTCTGTCAGAGCTTATCTGCTTGTAAAAATGGACGTAGAAACCGCAAGCATTCTAGGATTAACGTATACAAGATCGGACATAAGCTGTGAGTATTGAATTAAACCCTAGCAGAAGGCTATTGACTCATTGATATATATACATGTAAAAGGCTCAGTTGAAAGAACTAAATCCCATGCATGGTATCGACTGACAGTAATAAAATATACAATTTTTTGTGAACTCAATTATTTCATACAAACTCGTCAAGATTTACAATCAAACAAAAAATAAACAGACAATTTTATGATAATAAGATTACCACTTTTTCCTTCTAACATAAACAAAGGAGCTTTTTTTACAATACAAAACTTTATTGACAGCTAAAAAAGTTTTTTGTAGCCAGCTAGTACATGATTGAAAGCAAAATCATTTAGCAAAAAACAGTTGAGATAAAAAAATAAGAAATAAAAGAGACACTAATAGTAAACATATAAAAATATAATTGATAGAGACGAATAATAATAATGTTAAAAAAAATTAAACAACAAGGATTCAATGATAGCAATCAGGATGTTACTGAATAGTTTGTAAATTAACAAAAATATAATAATCATTGTGTTTTAATAAACTATGTCAATCACTTTTTTATACCCCTTTTCTTATAATAACAGACCTCAAGATAATTCTTGGCACCAATATTTCCTCGTTCAGCAGCCATTTTATACAGTTCCACTGCTTTTTGTTCATCCCTATCAACTCCAATTCCACTTGCATAACACAAGCCAAGACTAAATTGTGCATTAGCATACCCTTGTTCAACTGCTTTTTCATACAATTCTATGGCCTTTTGTTTGTCTTGGTCAACTCCAGTTCCATACTGGTAACAATAACCAAGATTGTGTTGTGCATAAGCATTCCCTTGTCCAACTGCTTTTTTATACAATTCCACTGCTTTTTGAAGATTTTTTTCTAGCCCAATTCCAAGCTGGTAGCAGCAACCAAGATTGTTCTGTGCAATATTATTCCCTTGTTCAACTGCTTTTTTGTATAATTCTACTGCCATCTGTTTATCCATTCCAACTCCAGTTCCATACTGATAACAACAACCAAGATTATTTTGTGCACAGGCATTTCCTTGGTCAGTTGCTTTTTTATACAACTCCACTGCCTTTTGTTCATCTTTTTCTACTCCAATTCCATAGTGATAGCACCAACCAAGATTATTCTGTGCCATATCATATCTCTGTTCAGTTGCTTTTTTGTACCATTCTGCTGCCTTTTGTTCATCTTGTTCAACTGCAATACCAAATTGATAACACCAACCAAGGCTATTTTGTGCTTTAGCATTTCCTTGCTCTGCTGCTTTTTTGTATAATTCTACTGCCTTCATTTCACCTTTTCTTACTCCAATGCCAAATTGATAACACCAACCAAGATTATATTGTGCATTAACATTTCCTTGGTCAACTGCTTTTTGATACAATTCTACTGCCTTTTGTTCACTCTTTTCTACTCCAATTCTAAATTGGTAGCAATAACCAAGATAATACTGTGCATGTGCATTTCCTTGGTCAACTGCTTTTTCAAAAAATTCCACTGCCTTTCTTCCATCTTTTTCTAATCCAATCCCATACTGATAGCAACGACCAAGATTAGCTTTTGCATAAGAATTTCCTAGTCTGGCCGCGTTTTTATACAATTCTGCTGCCAATTGTATATTTTTTTTCATGCCAGTTCCATGTTCATAATACCAACCAAGATTATTTTGTGCTGAAGCATTTCCTTGATCAGCTGCTTTTTTATACAGTTCAATTGCTTTTTGTATATTTTTTTCTACTGCAATTCCAAATTGATAACAACGACCAAGGTTATATTGAGCCAAAACATTTTCCTGTTCAACTGCTTTTTTATACAATTCAACTGACTTTTGTTTATCTTTTCCTACTCCAGTTCCACTTTCATAACACCATCCAAGATTATTTTGTGCATAATCATTTTCTTGTTCAACAGCTTTTTCATACAATTCAACTGCCTTTTGGTCATCTTTACCAACTCCAATTCCAAATTGATAACAATGACCAAGATTATTTTGTGCCAAAGCATGCCCTTGTTCAACTGCTTTTCTATACAATTCTACTGCCTTTGTTGCATCTTTTCCTACTCCAATTCCATTTTCATAACAATAACCAAGACTATTCTGTGCATCTGCATTTCCTTGCTCAACTGCTTTTGTATATAATTCTACTGCTTT